CGTCTCTTTTTCTGGGTTGCAGAAAGGGACTTCCTGTATCAATAGGACCCAGACTGTGGGGGTGATATGCTGACTCTGTAAACCGCTTAGAGAGGGCTGAAAGCCCTACGAAGCGGTATATAAGTCTAACTGCTATTGCTATTGCTATTCTAACCCTGTTGTCTCCACTCATTCTCAGTCTGCATCTGAAGAGATGGGAAGTGAGGTAGATTTTTTTTTTAAAGGCACTTTAAAAGATAAACTAAGACACAGCTCAACTCCTCACAGCTGCTCACTTTTTATTGGTGTTAAAGTTTAACTCCGCTTACTAATCCTATCTGAGGGCAGTAAAGAGCAGTGAGCCACGTTGTGTTTCTGCTATGACTGTTTGAAACCGTTTGTGTTCTGGCTCCTAAGTGGGAAAAGGACTTTAAAAACCCCTTTCCTTTCCTCCAAATGATCCCTCCTGGCTATTTTCTTTCAGATTTGAGACCATCCAGCAAGAACTGAGCAAAGCGACGGCCCAGAACAAGGAGCTGCAGAGAGAGATGGAACGGCTGCAGTCGGAAGCCACGAGGTATAAAACAGTGCAGCTCAAGGCCGCCAAGGACGCAGAGAAGTACAAGGAGGAACGGGACTCGGTTTTCAGCGAGTACCGTCTCATCATGAGCGAGAGGGATCAGGTGATCAAAGAAGTAGATAAACTTCAAACAGAGCTGGAGCTGGCAGAATCGAAACTGAAAAACACATCGTCGGAGAAAAAAGTGGCCAGTGAGGAAATGGAAGCATTAAGACAGGTATGGAATCGGGGGTTTGAAGAAGTCAAATCCCTCTGCTTTTATTACAGTGTGGTGCAATCCTATCCATGGATTTGTTTGAGCAAGGAGCCCATTCAATTGTTTTGCCCGTTGATTAATGAATTTGAGCAAGGAATATTTGCAAGGTGACCGGCTCATTTGAAGAAGCCATTAGGATCTCATTCCACAAGGTTAGCTAGTCCCTTTTGAGGTCTGTTCAACTCAATAGAGAACATGAAATTTCAGTGGCCAGCCAAACAATTATCTGTACCAGTGTTGGCCAACCTTTTTGTCCTCACGTGCTGAAAGTGTGTGAATGCGCACGCCACCGCACACCCATGTTCCCACACCCATAATGCAATGCGTGCATGACACCCCCACATGCCATGCCCCCCCTTGTGAATGCATGTGACCCCACACTCCCCCCATGCGTGCGACACCCACCCCCCCAGGCCCTGTTTTGGGACCAAAAAAATGAGCTGCAGTGGGGGAGCACCGCACCCCACATACACCCTCCCATGCCCGCATGTATCTGCGACCCCCATGCCCCCCACATTTGCCTACGCTTCTCCCGCATGCACCCCCCCATGCAGCTGGCCAATGGGAGGTTTGCGTGTATGCGCCGTGGAGCTGAGAGGGCTCTGCATGCAACCTTTGGCACACATGCCATAGATTTGCCATCATGGATCTATACATAAAAGCGGGCCATAGAAGAGGTTCTAATGTAGATATCTGCTTGACATTTGAAAGAGCATGGGACAGGTTACTTGTGGGACCTGAGAGTATTTGCCTATTCCACCGTGTCAGATAGGGCGGGTACCCTCCTGGTCTCTTTCCCCAAATGCTGGCACCTAGCAAGGCTTTTGAGGTGTGCCTTCTCTAGATTGGTCTAGTGCAGTGAGGCTAACCTTTTTGTCATCACGTGCCAAAAGGGTGTGCGACTGCCCCCATAAGGCAATGTGCGTGTGACACCCCCTGTGCACCCTGCACATGCGTGTGCAACCCCCATGCACCCTCCATGCCCCATTTTGGGCCTAGTAGGCCTCCCTACAGTCTCCTGGGACCAAACATGAGCTGTGGAGGGGCGCACCCTCCACCCTCATGAATGTGCATGTGACCCTGCGCATGTGCACAGGTGCGCATCTCCTGCAAGCACCCTGCCCCCGCGCATGCACAGCAGAGACCTGAAAATCAGCTAGCCGGTAAGAAGTGCATGCACATGCACAATGGAACTGAGCTAGGGCGACGGCTCGCATGCCCGCAGAGAGGGCTCTGCGTGCCACCTTTGGCACTCGTACCATAGGTTCGCCATCATGTAGTAGTTTAGGCATCAGCCTAGAAAGCGGGAAGGTGTGAATTCTAGGGCCACCTAAGCCATGAAAGCCAACTGGGTGACTTTGGGCTAATCACCAGGCAATGGTGAGTTCTAATTCTACCTTAACCATGAAAGCCAGTTGAATAATAACAGAATTTGTTGCAGAAAATCACTTCCAGAAAGGACACACAGATAACTGATTCAGCTGGATTCATTAACTTCTTTATATACATATTAACACATGAAGATAAATGTACAATACCAATATAGTTTTTTCCCCAATGTAGTAGTAGTTACAAGGAAACACAGTACAGCAGAGAGGAGTTTTTAGTTCAGAGTAGACAGAGTAGTTTCAGTTTTGATTCTCAGCACAGACTTTGATCTGTTTAAGCTCCCATTGGCTGATTTGGTTGCTATGCCTATTCATTGGCTGACCTTGTTACCATGTCTCTCCCAGTCATGAATATACTAACAAATGATATTGGGCCAATCACCAGGAGATGGTGAGTTCTAGTCCCACCTTACCCTTGAAAGCCGGCTGAATGACTTTGGACCAGTCACCAGGAGATGGTGAACTCTAGTCCTGCCTTAGCCATGAATATTTACTGGGTGATCTTGGGCCAGTTTCTCTCTCTTTTATCCCAACTTTGCCTCACAGGGCTATTGTTTTGGGGAAAATAGGAGGAAGGTGTGTTACAAGTGCAGAAATGTTGCATATATTTGCCTCCTTGAGCTACAGTATTCGTAAAACCAATAAAGGCAAATACAAATAAATCAATCAATCGTTGCCACAGGATTTTTTTATAAGTGCCTAGTCTAGTCTATAAAGGTAATGGTAAAGATTCCCCTCGCACATATGTGCTAGTCATTCCCGACTCTAGGGGTCAGTGCTTATCTCCATTTCAAAGCTGAAGAGCCAGCGCTGTTTGAAGACATCTCCATGGTCATGGGGCCAGCATGACTAAATGCTGAAGGCACATGGAATGCTGTTACCTTCCCAAAGTGTTCCCTATTTTTCTACATGCATTTTTTTAACATGCTTTCAACCTGCTAGGTTGACAGAAGCTGGGACAAGTAACTGGAGCTCACTCCATTATGTGGCG